AATTATTTTTTTAACTTTTTTCGTCGAATTCTTATCTTTTAACTTTCCGTTAATTAGTACGTCTCATCATTGATGATGAATTTCATCAAAATATTATATTTTCTTGCTTTGAAAATGAGGAAAAAAAGATATTTTTCACACTTTTTATTTATTTATTAAAAATATGATGAAAAAATAAGTTAATTTACGCCATTTCAACGAACTATTGGGTACAAAGCTGTTATCAAATATAAAATATTTTAACTAATAGAAAGTTTGAGAATAAAAATGACATAAAAAATCGTCTGTGACATAAGTGCTGTAATGAATAGATATTAGAACTTTAATTGCAATTAAAAAGTGAATCAAGAAATAAAAAATTGTTGTGTAAATATAATTACTCAATTCTTAATTATTAGAACAAAATTTAAAGGGGGTTTTGTTCCATTTATACCCATTAGTTTTAACATTAAAATCAAGGTTAATTTTGTATTACAATGAAAAGAGATTTACTTAGATTTTAAATATCCATTTTATGATAAAATTTAATCTAAATTTACCTATAAAATTCTATGGAGTCCTGTCCCTCATAGTGCCAAGAATTTTGGGAAGATGAGGTAGGGATTAAAATATTCTCATTATTGTCCCATTTATTTCTATTTCTAAAAAATAATTTAAATTTAAAAATCCAAAAATAAAATAAAAAATAAGATTTGAGGTCCCCACCCATTAGAGGCCGAGCAATGCTGGGTGAGATGGGTCAGGGTATTTTGCCATTCCTGATGGAACCCGTAAGGTCAGAAAATGCTAACGACTGTTTAGTAAGATAGATTAGACACTATTTTATGATATTAAAAAAATAAAAAATACAACTAAACTAAAATTTTATTTAGTGTGCCTCCTTTTAGGAAGAATTTATTGTAAATTTAATTTACAAATAGATAGAAATTAATTTTGGATTAGTAAAAATACTTATGAGAATTTGTAATTTTTTTTCAAAGCAATGCTGGATTTGTTGGGAATTTAGAGATGCAAAATTTGAAGCAAAGTAATACAGAGAGAGAATGCAGAGTAAAAATGGAGAAATACTCGCTAGTAAACTGAAAACAGCTAAAAAAATATCAACTAACATCACATTTTATTGCCACTACTTTATATTCACTTTGACTAACTAAAAACTAGAAAATAACTGAGCAAATGTCTGCAACTTTAACCAATATCATTGACTATGTCTAAGTGGAAATTAACACATTCCAATTTCTGAATCAACTTTCAACTCTCCCCCTTATTCAAAATTGCAAACTCCAAGCTGATTTACAAAATAAACGTGCTTTTCATGATGAAGCCATTTTGTAAGAATATCAGCTATCTGCTCATTTGTGTTGCAATACTATAGACTAATATGCCCTTTTGCTTCAATATCTCGTATGAAGTGAACTCGAATATCCATATACTTCGTTCTTCCACGGTAAGCTGGATTCTTGGCCATGGCAATTGTAGTTCTGATTCGCAATAGATTTCGCAATAGACTTTAGTTGCAAGTAGCCTTTGTAACCATACAGCTTGACATGATGATGAAATTACAACTGCATATTCAACTTCAGATGAAAACAAAGCAGTTATTTCTTGCTTTAACTCCAGAATATGGTTCCTGACCCCAAATTGAGAATATGACCTGAAGTACACCTATCTTCCAAACAACTTGTCCAATTGCTGTTAGTAAAATCCAAACAACTTGAAATCTGAAACATGGCAATACCATAACCCAAGGTCTATTGTTGCAGCGATATAGTGTAAGACCTTTTTTAACAGCTTCCAAGGTAATGCTTTGAAGGACGATGCATGATCCTAGAAATTACTCCAACTGAAAATGCTATGTCAAGTTTGGTATGGGTTAAGTATATCAAGTCACCAACCAAGCTTCTAAAGTAACTTGA